GAATTTTCTCCATTTCCTTTATCCACTTCCTTCTCCTCACCTAATTAGGATGACCCTTTCACCTAGTTAATCTGGCTTATATATAGGACTCATTTTAGGTCTGACTCCTATAGGAAATCTTCCTTGACGTCTCCTTTCTCCATGTCTGGGTTGGGTACTCTAGCCTTGTGCTCCCATGATACTCTGCACAGACCAATCACTATACTTACTACATTTGTTATAAATGTTTTTGTGTTTCTCTCCTCCACAAGACTGAGCCTTTTGAAGGCAGGCATGATATATTATACCTGCATTATATGAGTGAGATGTATTATTTCTTTATTCTCAGTACTAGAATAGCACAAGGCACACTGTAGGCATGTAGTAATTTATTAAAAAGGTTTATTTATTTTAGAGTGCACGAGTGGGAGGGGTGGAGAGAGAGGGAGAGAGAATCTCAAGCAGATTCCATGCTGAGCATGGAGCCTGACGTGGGGCTTGATCTCATGACCCTGAGATCATGACTTGAGCCAAAACCACGAGTTGGACGCTTAACTGACTGCACCACCCAGGCGCCCCGGCACATAGTAATTTTAATTGAATGATCAAATGAGTGAAGACAAAAGGTATATGGTGTAGTGATTAAGAACCTGTTCTTTAGAATTGATTCAAATCCTATCTCTGGCACACATTGGTTATGCCAAACTAAAAATAGGTTACCTATTTTTTCTTAAGCCTTAAATTTTCTCTTCCTTAGAATGAGAGTTGTTTGGAAAATTAAATGAGATGATAAAAGTAAGACATTTAACAGGGGCGCCTGGGTGGCTCAGTTGGTTAGGCGACTGCCTTCGGCTCAGGTCATGATCCTGGAGTCCCGGGATCGAGTCCCACATCAGGCTCCCTGCTCAGCAGGGGGTCTGCTTCTCCCTCTGACCCTCTTCCCTCTCGTGCTATCTCTCATTCTCTCTCTCTCAAATAAATAAATAAAATCTTAAAAAAAAAAAAAGACATTTAACAAATGCCTAGCAGATAGTATGCACTAGATAAAGGTATGCCGAACACCAGAGGATATTCAGAAGTATAAGGCTGGGCCTAGCCCAGGGCCATAATCTTTTAGAGACCTGAGTTTTCTATATGGATGGGTAGTGATGCAGGCTGTTTATAAGGAGATTATAATCTCATTTGGAGAGTAGAATTACATCTACATTTAATTTTCAGAGAACTGTGAAGATAAATTGACCACACCCTATGGCAAGATGTAGAGAAGACAAGATAGTTCACTGAAGGCCTCCCTGGAGGAGGTGGGACTTGGAAATTGAGAAGGATTTGGGATTCTAGGAAGGAGGAAAGGGTATAATCCAATGCCAGGAGATCATATTAAGAATGACTTACTTGGGAGATGTGACTCAGTACATCATACCTGAGAGATGTATTTGTGTGTAAGAATAAACGTGAGTCGGGGGCAAGGGGAGGGTGGGCTAGTTCTATGAAAGGAAGTAGGAGGTGACATAAGTAACCTTTTGGGGGTAGAGTATGAGGGTCTTAACCTCAAGCCTGAAGAATTTGGTACTTACCAGGTTGGGCAAATTTCTGGGGCTGGGTTGGATATCATGGTAGCCATCAGCCACATGTAGCTATTTAAATGTATGTTTAAAAAAATCTAAGAACTTTAGTTCCTTTGTTGCACTAGCTACATTTCGGATGCTTGATTGTCACATGGTGGCTACATTTATTTATTAGACAATACAGGTTAACAATACTTCCATCATTGCAAAAAATTCTACTGGACAGTACTGTTCCATGTTATCAGATTGCTGGGCTTGTGTGGCCTATCAGATCACTTTGGTTCCTTAAGATATAACCAGAATATTTTCCTGACCAATCCCTACAACTCTGGAATGAAAAGTAGGGAGTTAGAAAATAGAGAATTAGGATTTAATATGCATAGATGTGAGGATGGGATTGCCTAAAGAGAGGAGCAAAGGACCACTTAAGAAGAGAACTGGAGGAGGGGAAAGAGAAGGAAGGGATGAAAATCTGGATAGGATTATCATCTGGTGATTCACTTGCAATATATATTGCGTTCTTGTATGCCAAGTATTAAGTGTTGGAGATATATTGGTAAGCAAAAAATGGGCTTGATTTCTTGATTAGAACTTGCAGTTTATGGAGTTTAATTGGATGGACCAATTTAAAGATTCAGGAGCACCTATCGTTATGTACTCCCCATATTCTAAAATACTTCATTCCTAGAAATTGGAACTGGAGGCTAAAATGGGCCAAAATGTTGCTTAACGTTAGTTGCCTAAGCATTGTGCAGTCACTGCTTTAGCTTCTCAAGAAGTAGTAAATAGGAACATCATAACTTGAGAACTTTGGTGGGAATGAGTGTGTGTATAGGGCAGGAGGGGTAGTTCCTATTATCCTGCAACAGCCAGCCTTGCTCTCAGCGGCCCATCAGATTCCTTCCTGTCCCTGCTCTCAAATTGTGCTCTCTCAGATTTCTTTTATTACTGTGAGTAGTCAGTCACCATGACTTATTTCCCAAGGCCTGATGAAGACATACTTCACTTCTCAGTCATTACCTGCTCATTCATCAGTTTCCAGCAAGTGCAAACAGATGCCCCTCTGAACACATAGCATTTAAAAGTGGACTTGCCTGTAGCATCATCATCATTTGAGGATCCAGTTTCAGGATTTTAGGTTTGCCGCTGACTCTTCATGCTCTTGCATCCATTCCTTCACAAAGACCTGCTGAACTTTTGGACCTCACTCTGGTCATTATGTTGACAGCCTCCTGACTAATCTCTGACTCTAGACTTCTCCGCTCCAGCCTGCCTATACACAGCTGTTGTTTCACTTTGCTATGCAGCTCAATAACTTGGCAGTTGTCTCTGGTTGATTGTGAAGTCTAAACTTTTCAGCCTAGTGTTCAGGACTTCTGCAATTTTTTGGTGATTCTCTGGGGCAGCTCCTCTGGGTCAACTAATAAGGTCTGCTTTCTACCCCTTACCTGTGGCTTATTGCTGAAATCTGTGTTGTCACTTGTGCCTTTTTTTTTAAGTTTTATTTATTTGAGAATCTCCACACCCAATGTGGGGATTGGACTCAATGACCCAGAGATCAAGAGTTGCGTGCTCTTCGGACTGAGCCAGCCAGGTGTCCCTGTCACTTGTGCTTTTAAAAATGGAATGTCCTGGGGCACCTGGGTGGCTCAGTTGGTTTGAGCCTCAAATCACGCTCCCTGCTCAGCGGGAGCTGAGAAGCGCCTGCTTCTCCCTCTCCCTGCCTCTCTGCCTATCTCTGTCAAATAAATAAATAAAATCTTTAAAAAAAATGGAATGTCCCCTCCCACTTATTTTCTTCCTTATCAGTCCTCTCAGCCTTTTCATTTGAGTGCTTTCCAAAGCCTTTCCTGACTGATCGAATTTCTGTGACTTTGCACCTCTTCAGCACTCATTTGCTCACTCTCCTTTGCATTATCCTTTCTTTGCAGATGGTAATGAAACTCTGATTTTTAAAAATCTTGTTCCTTTTCTGTTCCCTTTGGACACAAAGCTTGTGCAGAGGGCCTGATGAATGGGCCTTGCCTGCAGGGCACATTTCTCAAAGAGAGGGTATTAGAGGCTTGAACAGTCAGTTTCTGGAGGCATCCAAAGATCCTAGTCCTGTCTCTGCCCATAATTTCCTGCTCTCCCTCTCTGGGTGATCTCATGCTCTCTCTTTGCCTCACCTTCTCTGACATGTTGATGCCTCTCAAATATATACATTTGGCCCATTCCTCTCCCTGAGCTTTCTACCCATGTATCCTACCTTGACCTGTGGATCTTAATCTCACTGTGTTTCAATCAGAAATCATCCCTTCTTCATCTGCCATTTAACTTCAAATTATGTCTCCTTGTTTATTTCTCATTGTGGTTAATGGCTATTTCCAAATTAGAAGTCTCGATTTATGTCTCCCTTTACCTCCCTTTGTCATTCCCCAAATACAGTGAGTATTAAATCTACCTTCACAATTTTTCTGGATCTTCTTCCTGTCCATTCCCTTTGCCCTGCCTTTGTTCAGTCCTCATCTCTCTCCCAAATTTCTTTTTTTTTTTCTCCCAAATTTCTTGTCTCTTTCCCTTCTACTGATACCCTATGTGGCCATGAAGGTTGTCCCTCCCTCCCTCCCTCCCTCCCTCCCTCCCTCCCTTCCTTCCTTCCTTCCTTCCTTAGGATTTATTTATTAATTTTAGAGAAAGTGCGTGTGCGTGTGCAGAGGGAGCAGTGATTGGGATGGGTGGGTGGGGAGGGGCAGAGAGAGAATCTTAAGCATATGCCCCACTGAGCCCAGAGCCCAATGCAGGGCTCCATCTTACAGCCCTGAGATCATGACCCGAGCTGAAATCAAGAGTCGATGCTTAATCGATTGAGCCACCCAGGCGCCCCTAAAGGTTGTTTTCAAAAGAAAACCAGTCCCTTCACTATTGTGCAGTTTGTGTATTGCACAGAGGGGCCACATTCACACTTAAACATTGTAGGTTTGTGTATTTATTATGACAGTCTTCTGTTAGATGGCAATAAAATGCATTGTTCTAATATTGATATGATGATTAAGGAGGGAAACCTAATATACATAAAGACACCTGTGGACTGAAGAACATCCTCTATTCTTATGTCCTGATTCTCTGCCATGCAAACTCCTTCTCATGCTTTAAAACTTAGCATAAATATCCCTTCCTCATTAAGCTGTTTTTGATATTACTTACAAGAGTCAGTTATTCCTTTCCCTGGCCTAATGCCATATTTGGTTAATCCCTTTTTATGGTGCTTATCACATTATATTGTAATAATTGACATATGAGTCTATCTGCCCCACCTATACTCCAGGCCCCTCAAGGATAGGGACAATGTTTAATTATTCTTTTATCCTCAGTGTGTAGGCTAATGGTCAGCACATAGAGTATATCAATAAACATAATATTTGATTGCTTAGCCTGATTTAGGCACAGAGGTAAATATATACATTATCTTATTTAATTCTCACAACAGCCTCATGAGTCCTGTCGTCATCATGTTTTACAGGTGAGAAAATTGAGACCTAGGTGAAGTCACTGGTAGATGGCATATGTGGTGGTGTGGGGTGTGGCCCTGGAGGACTTGTGCTAATTTTTCCAGTGATTCTCTTCTGTTTTTTTCTCTCAGAGTAATGAAGCGGGTGTGCTGGTTGGTGAGACAGGATAACCGGCACCAGCGAATCAAACTTCCACATTTGGAAGCAGTCATGGTTGGGCGTGGCCCAGAGACTAAGATCGTTGACAAGAAATGTTCTCGACAGCAAGGTACTTGGTCATAGCAATGTGCGGATTACTGTGTTTTGTTCCTCAGGATAATGATAACCCAAGATGCACATTTCCTGGATGCTATTGGTAGAAACTTTTTGTCTGCCATCTTTTAGCTAACACCAGGGACCCATTCACCCCTGATTCTACCCTCTGGAAGTGGTTAAGATTCAGTGTTGAGAATAGGCAGGTTCCATCCTGTTACTATGGGGTGGTGGACCTGAATCTTGTACCCTGCTTTGCCCAGGGAGATTCCTCATTGGGCAGTGAGACAGTTAATTCTGGGACCTCCAGCCTGAAACCATGTCTGAGAAGTGATGGGATAGTTCCATCCTTTACATAATGCCTCACACAGAGGGGGTTATCTTTATAAGACTATGGCATCTAGCTCTTGAAATGCCTTTCCTGGGATTTAATGAAATGAACGTCCTTAGGAAAAAGCCTTACCATGTACCTCATTTTTTACATATAAACTCTGGACATGCTCACCGCTACCAGACCCCTGCATGTGTGTTCCCCATAGAGTTTCTCAGTGCTTGGAGTCTGCAGTACTGATTATGATTTTTTCCACATGAGTTAATCTAAATGGGGAAAAAAAAAACCATACTTGAGCTGGCTAGGTCTGAGATACAGAAGCAGATACTGCTTTTCACTCTGTTCCCTTTTCACAACAGCAACTGTAGGGACTTGTATGTCAGCCTGTCTTCTGCCTGTTCCTTCCTGGAGAGCAGCTGTGGTGTCTGTGCACCCTCTCTCCCCGCAGAAACTTTGTTCACTTCTCTGAACACAAGTGTTTAATGTTATTTCTTCCCACATATGCTCAGACTGTTCTGTTCCTGCAATCCTCTTTCTAGAATAATCACTCTGCCTACTAAGGCCAGCTGAACTTCTCTTTTCCAGAAGTGTATCTTTTGCCTTTTTTTATTGAAAGCATCTTATAGTTTTATTAAATAGTGGAATCCTGATATAATCATGAACCAAGAGTCTGTGAGAGAATGGGGTCCCTTCCCTGACTGCAGAGTCTGGGATCCTGAGTGGGCCACGGGCTCTGGAATAACAAGATTTGTGGGGATTCTGTGAAGTTGCTTCGTAGGGATATTAGCAGGAGCTAAGGGAGTATGTGTGCTGGTGGACATTTTATGGAAGGATTTGGAGCCCAGCCACCTCCATAACAGGCAATTTTGCTTATAGGCCTTTGAGGAAACCACAGTCAAATTGCCTCCTGGAGTGAGGCTTCATTGTCCTGTAAGGAGAATAGGAGCAAGTGCTTGGTTCTTTGTGGCATTTAGGTTTAACTTTTTAAAATCTCTTTCAGTACAGTTGAAAGCAGAGTGTAACAAAGGATATGTCAAGGTGAAGCAGGTATGTGTGTTTGTAATTTGGATTTCCATTTTATACTTGATGATTTTCTTATGTTGTTGATTTTAGAGTGTTTGTGCCAACCAATCAAAGCTTCTATGTCATGTGTGGAAGTGAGCATTAAGTATGGTGCCTGGCATGCAGTAAGTGGTTAACATAGCAGTGGCTATGCTGCTAATGGTATTATTGCTATCATTGTAATTATTTTCTGATTATTTATAGGTAGGGGTCAATCCCACCAGCATTGACTCAGTCATAATTGGGAAGGACCAAGAGGTGAAGCTGCAGCCTGGCCAAATTCTCCACATGGTGAATGAACTTTATCCATATATTGTAGAATTTGAGGAAGAGGCAGAGAGCCCTGGCCTAGAAACACACAGGAAGAGAAAGAGGTCAGGCAGCAGTGATTCTATAGAAAGGGATGCTGCCCAGGAAGCTGAGTCCTGTAGAGGACTGGAACCTGGCCAATCCTCTGTGCCCTCAAAGAAAGGGAAAGATGCATCTACCAAAAAGGTGAGGGCGGTGTGCTTAATAGATGATGTGGAGATTAAATGAGATATAATGACTGCTTGATTGTTTTGTACACTGTAAAGCCCAGATACGCATAAGGGGTTATTAACCATGACAAGGCTTATTAACCATGATGAAAGAGTCACTTGTTTGTGTCACCAGTCACTTGGGTGAATGTCCCTTCATGTACTTTTCTCTTGAATTCCTGAGGTAAGCCACTTGAAGGTAGGGAGATAATGACGGTATGCTTAGCATGGAACTGCTAAAATGGGTCAGTCATATGTTTATCTGTAGAAGGTTAGCATTGGAACACTGTTCATAGATCATATGATTCGCATCCTGATGTCAAAGTGGAAATGTAGTTAGGCTGTAGATGGAGTGGGAGAGGGTGAAGAAGATGTAGTTGACACTCTGGCATCTCCAGCCTTCATCTAGACACATAGCTCTGAATCCTGTATAGGAAGAAAATGGAGCCGGTTTAGGTTATAAAGGCAAATGATTGAGTAAAGGGGGTATAACTTAATTCTTTTTTTAAAATTTTTTTATTGTTATGTTAATCACCATAAATTACATCATTAGTTTTTGACGTAGTGTTCCATGATTCATTGTTTGTGCGTAACACCCAGTGCTTCACGCAGAATGTGCCCTCTTTAATACCCATCACCGGGCTAACCCATCCCCCCACCCCCCTCCCCTCTAGAACCCTCAGTTTGTTTTTCAGAGTCCATTGTCTCTAATGGTTCATCTCCCCCTCCGACTTACTCCCCTTCATTCTTCCCCTATTGCTATCTTCTTCTTTTTTTTTTTCTTAACATATATTGCATTATTTGTTTCAGAAGTACAGATCTGTGATTCAACAGTCTTGCACAATTCACAGTGCTCACCATAGCACATACCCTCGCCAATGTCTATCACCCAGCCACCCCATCCCTCCCACCCCCCACCACTCCAGCAACCCTCAGTTTGTTTCCTGAGATTAAGAATTCCTCATATCAGTGAGGTCATATGATACATGTCTTTCTCTGATTGACTTATTTCACTCAGCATAACACCCTCCAGTTCCATCCACATTGTTGCAAATGGCAAGATCTCATTCCTTTTGATGGCTGCATAATATTCCATTGTGTATATATACCACATCTTCTTTATCCATTCATCTGTCGATGGACATCTTGGCTCTTTCCACAGTTTGGCTATTGTGGACATTGCTGCTATAAACATTGGGGTGCACGTGCCCCTTCGGATCCCTACATTTGTATCTTTGTGGTAAATACCCAGTAGTGCAATTGTGGGATCGTATGGTATGGCGGTATAGCTTAATTCTTAAAAACTAATCTCATTGCTAAGTTTGGTTGGGCTTTGCTGACATACAATATTAACTAATGCCAAATACAACTATTGACATTTGCAATTTTTATGGCTCCTTTTTGTTTCAGGAATCATTGGGCCACTGGAGTCAAGGCTTGAAAATTTCTATGCAGGATCCCAAAATGCAGGTCAGAATAACATTTTGGCATTGAAATACACTTCATGTTTTAAGTGACTGCTCCACAGAGGTCATAACTACAAGTGAAAGCAAAGGAGATCAGTCCTTCTGACTGAGGTTCGTTTTATTGGGCTATTTTGTGAGAACCAAGTGGCTTTTCCCATTATCAGTAAGTTAGCAACTGGAATTCGTTGGAGAGAAGCTCAGTTCTTAAAATGAATATCCCCTCTTCTTTGTTCCTCCTAAACTTCTGGGTGGCTGTTAAGGGAAGTTGTGTTAACCTTAGTGGGGTTTCTTTCAAGGAAGTGTCAGGTAATATATTGTGACTGTAGTTATTGGGCTGGCTGGGATTAATAGTCAGGTGTCATCCTGGGAGGAGTCTTTGAGTTCTTCTTAAATTACATCCTGGATGACAAAGGGCCAAATCTGATAGGGCTTCTTGGAACACATGATTGTGACACATGGTGTGCTGGGTTAGAGTGGAGAAGGGTGCATTTGAATTAATGCTTGAGGGGATGTTACATCAGAACCTTAGGAACTATTTTGTACTATGCATTTTCTGTGTATTCTTTGTAGTGTGGTGATTGAAAACACACACTCTGGAGTCGACTAGACCTGGTTTACAATCTTAGACTTCCCACTTTGTTAACTATGTGACAGTGCAAGACATATTCCAAGTCTCAGTTCTCATCTGACAAAATTGGGATACAGAAACCTTTTACATAAGATTGTGTTGGGAGTTAAGTGAGTTAGTGAATATGATGGCACCTGGCACGCAGAAGATGTGTGGTAGATGTCTGTTTCCTTCTCTTATGCCCCTCTGCTAGGTTTACAAAGATGAGCAGGTGGTGGTGATTAAGGATAAATATCCCAAGGCTCGTCACCACTGGCTGGTCTTACCATGGGCTTCCATTTCCAGTCTGAAGGCTGTGACCAGGGAACACCTTGAGCTCCTTAAACACATGCATACTGTGGGGGAAAAGATGATCACAGATTTCGCTGGGTCCAGCAAACTCCGCTTCCGTTTGGGTTACCATGCCATTCCCAGCATGAGGTAAGTGTTGTGTGTAGTGCCAGTGCGTTCTGGTTCTGTCTAGGTGGACAGATGGATTCAGCCTAGGTGTGCTGATAGTTCCGAGGCCCAGGGGACTAGGGTGGGATGTTTCCAAGGAAGGTGGGCTGAAACTTCCACCCTTCTGCCTGACTTGCCTTGATTTTTCTTTTTCTTTTTTGTGCCTGTGACTTTTATTAGATTTTTCAGAAGCATCTATAAACTCCTAAACAATTAAGGACCATTGCTTTGAAGGAGACAAACATCACTGACTTTTATTGTGACAACTCAGTAGATCTAAGATTTAAAATAAAATGAGAGAAAAATATAGAGCCTGTTTGCCTTTGGCTCACACCCAGGAGTATTCAGAAAGGAATAACAGTGTTTTTAAAGAATGCAAGGAAGGCAGATTACCATAGTTCTTTAGAGCTAAGCAACGAGATAAGCAGACTAATTGGATTTTGGAGTTTTTATCTTGTATTTGTTTGTTTTCTTGGTGATAAAATATACCTAACAAGATTTTGGGCGCCTGGGTGGCTCAGTTGGTTAAGCGACTGCCTTCAGCTCAGGTCATGATCCTGGAGTCCCGGGATCGAGTCCCACATCGGGCTCCC